ATGCCCGGGGAAGCCACGAGGACAGCCGAGGCCCCCCAAGGCGCTCCCCACGCGGGCCCCCGCTGCAGACACCGCAAAAGCGACCCCCGCGGCGGCCCCCACGACGGCCCCCCCCCCCTGTCTCGCTCTCCCCTGACCAGGGCCACGGCCCCCCCATGTCCTGCGACCCCGCCCTGCCGCGCGACCCTTTGCCCTGCGACCCCCGCGACCCCCCCGCCCTGCCCCGACGGCCGCCCCGAGTGGCCGCATGCCCTGAGATGGAGCCCCTGGTGGGGCATACCCAGGAGAGCGGCCATAGGGGCCGCTGGCCAACCCAACGCTGGCGCCGCTGGCCCTGCGGCGGGCTTCGAGTTGCCCCACGCCCTGAGGGGGGGGCTCGCAGGGTGCGTGCCCGGGGAAGCGGTCATAAGGCAGAGCCGACGCCGCCCTCTGGAGTCTCCCACCCCACCCCGCCACGACCACCGCCACGACCCCCCGACCAACCCGGAGGCCCCCCCGACCACCGCCAAGGCGGCTCCCCACGACGGCCACGCGGCGGCCCCCCCCCCCCCCGCGGCTGCTCCCGCGCCGGCCTCCCCAACGGCCCCGCCGCGACGGCGACGCAGACGCCGCCCGCCACGACGGCAGCTCCAGCCACGACGAGCCTCGCCGACGGCGGCCCCGGCAAGGGCGCCAGAGCAGCCGCCCCCAGCCGCCACGCGCCGCGGGGGCCTCCAGCCCACCGCCGTCGGCCGCCTGCCAGCTGCCGCCACGTTCTCTCGAACAGCTCCTCCCTTCCCTCCTCATATGTTCTTGATTTGCGGAAGTCCATGATTGGAGAGGAAGCATGCTGCCAAATAATTTCCAGATGTCTAGAATATGTTTCAAGCATATGTTTAAATATGTTCTAAACATGTTTGGAACATGTTTAGAACATGATTTGCACATTTTAATTCATCTTTAATTCGTTGTCGTGGCATCCACAATTCTTCATGCTCTCTGGGATCGATTCCCCTTCCTTTCCCCCTTGCCTGGCCCACCGCGCTTGGAGGCGCAGCCTCTACCGCCCACACCCGTGGGCCTGGCAGCACAGGGTGGGCGGTAAGCCCGACGCGAGCAGCGAAGAAACACCGCAACGGGACGAAGACCACTTCACTTCGCCGCGGCCGCCGCCGGAGGGGGTGGGCCCAGACATGATCGCGTCGCTTAAAAATGAGGGCGGGCGAGATTTCGCTATGTTCGGCCCCTGGGGGCCCTCGCCGGTCCCCAGGACCGTCAACAAACATACTCAGGACGAAAAGCCGGCCCCGGGGAAAGGGCCTGGACTTCCGGGGACGCCGTCCTGAAAAGCGAGCTGAGTACAACAGCTGCCGCCGCCGCGGATGGCGCAAAATTCCGCGCCCCCACTTGGCACCCCCGGACAGGCCCCATTCCCTCCAGCCGGAACTCGTCGCCCGCCTCGGCGGGGGAGGGTTCCACTGGTTGGAGCATAGGGTCGAACCGAAGAGGAGGCTCATGCTACAGCGGGAGCACCTTTCCGGGACAGCCAGAGCAAGCGGAGCCCAAAAACACAACGTAACATTATGCTTAACGTCTTGTGGCGACAGAAACATACGTGGAGAGGGCCGAGCATCCTCCGCACAAAAAAGGAAACGAGCAGATTAGTTCTTGGAATGCGTAATTCTAGAAGCGCTGGGGGGGTGGTATAACGAGGAGGAGGAGGAGGAGGAGGAGGAGGAGGAGGAGGAGGGGGAGGAGGAGACGTCGAGTGGGGAGCTGTTCGCTCCGGCACCGAGGAGGGCGAGGGGCTCGCGAGAAGGAGCATGCTCCCGAGGAGCGGGGACGATGACGACGGCGGCCGTGACCATGACGATGCCATGAAGGTCGTGTCTGGTTTAGCAACCTGGTGGCGGTTCTCAGATACGCACCGCCACCGTTACAACACAACAGGACAGCTTCACCCACACGCCTTCCCCGGTGGCCGCCTGCGCGCTTCCACGCCATGGCCGCGGGGAGGGAGGATGACGGGGATGGGGAGGATGAGGAGAATGAGGAGGAGAAGCAGGAAGTGGGAGGAGGAGGAGGAGGAGGAATAAGAATGAAGGAGGTTTAGGATGGGGTACGGAGGAGGAGGAGGAGGAGAAGAAGAAGCACAATCAAGAGGGGGAGAAGGAGAAGTATGAGCAGGATAGAGAGAGAGAGAGAGAGAGAAAGAGAGAGAGAGAGAGAACAAAAAAAAGGAGGCAAATGGGGATGGATGGGAGGAGGAGGAGGAGGAGGAGGAGGAGGAGGAAGAGGAGTCGCACGAGAAGGACGGGGAGGAGGAGGCGGATGGGGGAAGATGAGGAAGAAAAGGGAGGGGGACGAGGATGAGAATGAGGAGGTGGAGGAGGGGGAGTGTGAGGGGGAAGTCGTTCATGGTCCCGGCCAGCCTTGTCGGCAGCGCCCTCAGGAATATTGCTGCACGCACGAGAACAAGGGGTGCGAGATGAACAGCAGCGGGGACCGACGGGGCTTTTGA